TACGATCCACTGATAAGATCCGGCGAGAACATCAAGGGGTTGTGTCTGTAATTAAGATTTTGCACGTCGAACTTCTGACCAGTTCGACGAGAAGGGTGAGCGGTGCATGGAATTCCTTGAAGCATCGACAGTGTATCGGGAGGGTGCGGGAAGTTTTTGTTAATATTAATCAATACAGAAAAAATACATTTTTCGGTCAATATCGGATCAGCGTCACAAATGAACTAAAAATACCATTACTGTTGCACGAAACAGTTTAGGATTTATGATGCTTAGATCATTAAACTACTTAATTTAAAAAAAAAACATTCTTTTTAATGTTCCAGATTTCTTCCAAATATGGTTGTTCCACAAAACGACTAATAATTAGAAAAAACTATTAAAATGCTCCAATGAAATCCCAGTGACCGAAAATGTGCTTCGGAATAGTTAAATAAACCTTTTCTCTTCTAAAAATGGATTTGTATGTATGTATTTGACATTTAAGACGTGTGACGCACTCTTCATCCATAGCCGCTAAAAATAGAATTAATAGGAGTTAACTTAATCATCAGAATGATTGATGACGAAATTATTTCGCGGGAAAGCCTTCGAATTTTTATTAAAAAAAATGAGGAAAAATATTATAACACGATTTGTTTGTAGTTTTATTTTGATTACTGCAACATTAAGATATTTATTAAAGATCAGTGTCAAATTATAAAATCAAACTGCATTTTTATCCGTGCGAACTCACAAGAGGTCCTACCACCACTACGCAAATTATAATTTTGCGGGTTTGATTTTTATTACACGATGATTAACATCACCGTCGTCACCACCATCATCAACAAGGAATAATCCTTCAGCGTGGAAGTCAATTGTGAACATTTGTTAAGTACGTATTTCATTAGAAAAATTGGTACCCGCCTGCGGGATTCGAACACCGTTGCATCGCTAGATACGAATGCACCGGACGTCTTATCCCTTAGGCCACAATGAATAAACTATTGTTAGGCTTTTTACTGGTGGTAGGACCTCTTGTGAATCCGCGCGGGTGGGTACCACCACCCTGCCTATTTCTGCCGTGAAGCAGTAATGCGTTTCGGTTTGAAGGGTGGGGCAGCCGTTGTAACTAAACTTGAGACCTTAAAACTTATATCTCAAGGTGGGTGGCGCATTTACGTTGTGGATGTCTATGGGCTCCAATAACCACTTAACATCAGGTGGGCTGTGAGCTCGTCCACCCATCTAAGCAATAAAAAAAAAATTAAACGTTTAGCATCTGTAAATAAATGTTAGAAAATAAATCAAAGGCGCCGGAAGTGGCTTCAACCAATAAGCGTCTACTATAGATGTAGCGTGGGTAGGCCTCCCACAAGTTGGACCGACGACCTATTGAGGTTCGCGGGGAACCGCTGGATGCAAGCAGCGCGGGACAAATCTTTGTGGCGAGGCTTGGGGGAGGCAAATGTCCGGCATTGGACGTTTGTGGGCTGATAGAATAGAAAACAAATAGGTATAGTTGTACCAAAAAGTTCCTTTAAAGTAGATTATCAGTAAATAACCACCATTCTAGTGAGAATTTTCATAAATCTCATCCCAATTGATCAATTTCAAATCAAATCAACTTTATCTCATAAAAAAGAAAAAGATAATTTTTTTTGGATCAAGTATGCACGTTAATGACATGATACTTCAAAAATCTGTGTCGGATTATAAAAAAAAATACTTAATTTTTCCTTTAATTGCGAAATGAGATGCGTCTTTTTTTTACTTTTTCGTTTGTTTGCAATGTGCCCTTTTTGTATATGGCAATAACCACTACACTATAGCAGTCAATCGTCTGTATGTAACTCGGATCGAAATACCTTTTCGAATTAACCGGAATTTTTGTACAGAATGATATTGTATTTTGTAATCATAATGAATTTCGAAATCGATTGCCCCACGAATGACGGATCATCACTCGAGAACAGCTCGAGGGATCTGTGTGCTTAGCGTTTTCGATAGCGTAAAAGTTAACTCCAATTTGTATGCATTTAGAACAGCGCCCCTTTTTTATTTTTGGTCAGGAGGAAATCGCCGGATTCCCATCGTCCACTGGGGATTGCGGGCGGGGTATGTCGGAGTCGAACCCACTAAAACCTGCTGTCGCTCAACAACCCACGTCCGAGCCTCGCATGAGACAGAACTCATGAAAAGGCAAAAGGGGGAGAGTGAAGCGTTTAGTGCGGAGCACATCTCTCTCATCACCCTCCCCCAGAACAGCGCCCCTATCGGAAAACGTAAACAAACGTTCCATGCAAATTTGATTTAACTTTTACGCTATTGACGACGTTAAAAAACTCGGACTAAGCACACTAGATAGTTTTATTTTAATGTGCTCGTAATTTTGTCAAGTTAAGGTTTGTACAAAAGAATCTTGTTGGAAAATTATATAGCCATAAAAACAGCATAGGTTCTACCAGTACCTATATAATGTTTGTATTATATGTTTTTTATAAAGTGTATTTATGAACTACCAAAAATGGGCCATTGAGAAGATTAAAGGGTTGTAGAACACCCATGGAAACGATTGACTGGCATGCTTGTCTGCACTGTAAGATTATCATTTCCTTGTGATACAGATGCTGCAATGCTCTGCGGACAGACCTCACAGTTTCTCGCCGGATCTGCTCAGCGAGTCGCGTTTCCGATCCGATGGTAGATTCTGCGAAGCACTGCTCTTGTTAGGGCCAATGTTAACAATCCTCTCTGGCTCAGCCCGTAAACTCACCTACCCGTCTGTGAATACTTAGAATAGTCCCTTCGGCTACCAAAGATAAGGTAGAGAAAAAAAGAGTTTTCCGGTATGAAACGTGGCACAGCCGTTAGACAATACAATTCAGACTTAAACCTCACGTCTCAAGGTGGCAGCATTTACGTTGTTGATGTCTATGGGCACCAGTAGCTACCTAACGCCAGACGGATATTGAGCTCTTTAAACTTTCTACGCAATAAAAATTGAAACCAAATTGATTACTTATTGCGAATTTAAAAATAAGTCTTCATTTATTTGTACCCATTTCAATTTAACTTAACGTTTTAAAACGATCTAATCTAAAAAGGGGATATAAACCGCATTACCGATGCTGCAGTTCAAGTGTTTGATCGGCTAAAACAAAACACGACCAAGAAACCGGTTTTCTGTATACAAATTATCTTTCCTGATCTATTCAACTGTAACAGTTACCCGAATCAGCGTTCGAAAATATTGTTGCCATAAACCTCGTTAAAATGAACATTTTGTTGGATTATTCTGGCGAACAGGCAAACTGTTCAAATACAAAGATGGCTCAGACGATAAGCAATGTAAATTTCTAACAAACTAACAAATAAGAAAAGTGAAAAACATTATACGGAATATGTATTTTAAAAATCGTCGCGTTTTGACATTTTGTCGGCGTCCTAAGAACTCGTCTCACTTTATCATGGATCATACCATTTTTTCTGCTGATTCTGTCTTCTGCGGCGCACAGAGCATCACATATGTCGCAACAGTTTAGTTTATCTGTGTACTTATAATGTCAATATCAGGTAACGTACTTTTTGGCGGGAATGCGAGGAATGAAGTTGTGTGATTTGTTTTATTTTGTCTGTTTAGAGTTTCTTCAGGTTTAAATGTGTAATGACGGTGGTTTATTAACTGTTTAATATCTGTGAATCTCTCATTTCATTTAATTTCACTCCAAATTACCATTTTTCATAAAAATAAGAATATAAATTAAAATAAGACATGACTTAAAGATCTTTTTTTTATTGCTTAGATGAGTGGACGAGCTCACACCTGATGTTAAGTGGTTACGGGAGCCCATAGACATCTACAACGTAAATGCGCCACCCACCTTGAGATATAAGTTCTAAGATCTGAAGTATAGTTACAACGCATTACCGCTTCACGGCAGAAATAGGCAAGGAGATGGTACCCACCCGCGCGGACTCACAAGAGGTCCTACCACCAGTAATTATGCAAATTATAATTTTGCGGGTTCGATTATTATTACACGATGTTATTCCTTCACCGTGGAAGTCAATCGTGAACATTTGTTGAGTACGTATTTCATTAGAAAAATTGGTACCCGCCTGGGATTCGAACATCAGTACATCGCCTCAACACCTATGCACCAGACGTCTTATCCATTAAGCCACGACGACGTCGTAGTTGTTGTCAAAAAGTCAGAGGCATAGATAATACAAATAATATTTAAGCCAGAGTTTAGACGTTCCGTAATAAAACCAATAAATAAAATTAGTTAAGGAAGTATTGCTTCATTCCTATCGCCATATCCATGCCATCTCAGATATATACTACAGTCGAATGTTCTTTTCAGCGCACGATACAGTGCCCGGGATATCGTTCCACCTAGATTGCATGTGACGTCACCAATCCTTAGAAAACCGATAATCATAGCTGAACGCTAAGTAGTAACACGGCGTGCGGCGTGCACAGATTTAAAATCTAGAAGGATTGATGCAACCGTAACAATGCGCATCTGTAAGTTGAAGGATTGTTTCTGAAATGGCATTGAGTTTCCACCATGCGAATAACGGCATTGTCATCTTAGGCATATTAGGCATCAGCGTTTTTAGGCTTCGTTGGAAGCAGGAGTTCTTCACGGCCTGTATGCTTAGTGGGAGTTTTTTATGGAGTATTTTGTATGGAGTTGAAATAGCGCCCATAGCGGCAAACGTAGGCAAACGTTCCAGCTCCATACAATTTTGAGTTAACTTTTACGCTATCGAGAACGTTACAAAGCTCGCACTAAGCACAGTGGTCGTACCTCTGACGTCACTAATGCTTTTATTATTATTTTCACGAGACGTCGATCACAACTGATGACCAGCATGTGTCCGGGGTCAGCTTTAAAATCGTTTTCGTACAACATCACCGGTAATTACGGAAAGTGAATTAGTTTCGCAACACAACTGCAGCATTCTCGTAACAGTGTTGGTTACGTAAAATATAAAATGTCCGTAAGTCGACGTTCGGCCAGTCGTGCGGCAATACTCGTGCATAATGTCGTCCAAGAGCATATTTATCTGTCTATCATTATGTTATATCGTTAACGAAGTCTACGGTGAGTTCTTTAAATAATTACGTTTAACTTAGTTTTACGAGAGCATCTTTTCGTCAATTGCCAAACTTATTAACATCGAGGGGTGAAAGGTTTTAAGCGAAATTTTTGCAATTTTACAGGACAGCCATTTAAAGGTTATTTTTTTTTGAAAAATACCATCACAGAAAAACTTCGAAGTTTTGTTGCTAATACTAAATAAAACGGACCTTTAATTACAAAAATAAATGTCGCGTATTAATCACAAAAGTCGCTTAAAGGAAATAGTCTTTCATCCCTATATTTAAATGCAGGTACATTGCTTCCTTTTTTGCCAATAAAACTACATAAAGGGGATGGCCCATTTTAGGCCCAAAGCGGACAATAGATTATAGAAAAAATACTTAGTGCATTAATTTTGTCATAAATAAATATGCATTTACTTTCTTGGAAATAAGCGCCACTACAGTTTACAATAAGTAGTTTAAAAAAAGTAACTCTATTGAAAAAACAAGGATTTTTATTTTTGCGGGAAAAATATTGCCAGCTTCAAATCCTTTTACGTATGAAGTAAATATTTTGAGTATATAAATAAAACATATAAATAAATCATTTTAAGTATTATCATTAATCAAACGATTTTAATGGATTTTATGCACATAAAATAACATCGAAGACATACCCATTGGACTTTAACTTGTAACTATACTTGAGACCTTAGAACTTATATCTCAAGGTGGGTGGCGCATTTACGTTGTAGATGTATGTGGGCTCGAGTAACCACTTAGCAACACCAGGGTGGCTGTGAGCTCGCCCACCCATCTAAGCAATAAAAAAAACTTTACTAGTATTGTTATTTAAATATGTACAACTAAAACAAAAACATAAAAAATAATGTGTACTCGTAAAAAAAAGATTAAGATATAAATCAATTATCGGTTATTTAAAAAAATAATCGATATATGAATTTCATGTAATTATTTTTCTTTATACTGACAACACTGAATTTAATCTGACTGACTGACACTTCGCTTGCTGCTTGTGGTGTTGTGCTTGCGTACAAAATGGATGTGTTTTGATTTTTCTTCGATTTATTTTACTTTTATCAATAACGTTTCATACTACGACTAAAAAACATTGTGTGAATTGTGGTTTTACCCTGACCGAGATTTAAAACCGTGTATATGCTCTCTTTTGCTATTTTTAGATGATACTAATTGTGTATGAAGATGAAGAAAATATAGATATTTAATCCGATTCCCGTCGGCAATAAGAAAAAAAATCTAATTACGCTTTAAACACACAATCACTCATTTATCGTGGAAGTCGACCGTGAACATTTAAGCACGTATTTAGTATTAAAAAAGTTCGTAGTTGTCAGGGCTTAGAAGAGCGATATAATCGCTTCGTTTGAAGTACGCAGAACTTCTTACACTTTGGGTCATTACCATTTCTGTATATTCCACCGATTTGTATGATACAAACACAACTCAAACTCATCCCAATCTGGTTCTTCCGAATCGCAATCTTCATTTCTAAAGATCGTTGCTTGATTGAAGACTGTTCTCTAATTACTCATTGCACAACTATCTTCGGCAGTCTTTAGTGTTTCTGGTGTAGCCTGCGGGTGAGTGATGCTATCAGTCATAAATAAAGGGTAGGTAGGTAGACCACGTGGCCTTTTAGCGTTACCATGACTTACTGCTGCTAGCTTTTCGAAGTTGTCAGGATAATGAGTCTAAAGTGGCAAAGTAACCACTATTGAGAAATTGTAAATAGTTATTAGTTATTAGTTGTTGTGGCGGGCTATTTGAGAATGAATAGGTTTTTTCAGAAAGAGGCCACGGGATGCCTGATACATGTCTTCAAGACCACGTCTCTAATACCTAATATTTTTTTATCTATCTCCTCGACTCTAAATTGGAAAACTAAAATCGATTGCAATCGATTCAACGATTGTAATATAACTAATATTTATTATTGTAGTCTCCTCCTCCTTGCGTCGATAATCCTCAGTGCTGAGGGTCGTGGCCTCCTTTAATAACTTTCTCCTGCATCATCTTGCGCCATTCCTACCTGTCCTCGGCTGTGTGGATAGCAACGTGGACTGAGGTATTGAGAGTGGAGCGTATCTGGTCCGACCAGCGCATTGGATCTCTGTGCCTTCTCCCGCATACCTTGCCTGCTAACAGCAGCTTTTCCAGATTATTATTGTAGTAAATAATATTTTTTTATTTAATTCAATACCGAAAATTAAGAACTTGTTTTCGGACAAACAAACCTAAACACATGAATGTAGATTTGTTTAGTGCTTTTTTCTGAAATAAATGTTTTATTATTATTATTATTATTTAGCATAACACAGGTGCCCTTGTAAAATTAAAATTTAATTAAATACTTAAACACTTTGTAACTGTACTTGAGACCTTAGAACTTATATCTCAAGGTGGATGGCGCATTTACGTTGTAGATGTTTATCGGCTCCAGTAACCACTTAACACCAGGTGGGCAGTGAGCTCGTCCATCCAAGAAATAAAAAATAAATAAAAAAATTCACGTTTCAAGACAGGTGTCGGCATTTACATACGTTGTTGATGTCTTAGGGCGACCAATAACCACTAAAACACCAGGTGAGACATGAGCTCATACATCATTAACTTAAATAATAATAAAAACATCTATATATTTTTATTAATTTATTTATCCTTTTGTTTTGATAGTGACATTATTTCATGTAGAAAAAATGCAGTCCTAATTTAACCTTTTGTTCAAAATATAATTCATAATACAATATATTTATATGCATTAAAAACAAAACACAAAATCGGTTGATAAACTCACTTATCCTTACGTAGGTATATATATTTATTCTGTACATAAAACTACATATTCTAAGCAGTCCGTGTCAAATATACCGATAGTTAGAATCGACCTTATCCGATTTAGATGAAAATTGGTCGGAAGCGGATGAAAGAGTGATCCCATAACGAAATATTGCGAATGACGAATCCAGGACGATAGCTTTAAGCCTCAAAGGCTTTGAGGAGGTATGGTGATTTTGAACGTCGATTATATCACTAAAGGATTCAAACAGCCACGTGGGCAATAGACATCCGCCTCAACGTCATTTACCTTCGTAAACACATTTGAACCGTGTCATAAGTCGTGACAAACAAAACACGTGCACATAACAATGCAATTATACGAAGATCCTTTGAAAACAAATCAATGGATGAGTTATACTCGGAATAATACGGACCTTGTAACAAATACTATGAGTCTCGTTGCTAATTTAGAAACTTGAACGATTGGCCCGCACTCTAGGCGAGTCGATTTCATTTTAATTTTGTTTATGTGAAGTTTGATTTTTATGATGAAGTAGTTAAAGTTTGTTAATGTAATGTAAATGTTTTAATCCCGCCAAATTCTGCGACGAAATATGTACTTATGTAGTTTGGTTTGAAGGTTTAGAAAAACAATGTATGTTTGAAAACATTATTACTGGTGGTAGGACCTCTTGTCGGACCACTTAACACCAGGTGGGCTGTGAGCTCGTCCACCCACCTAAGCAATAAAAAAAACCTTTTTTAACCTACGTACAACCCACATTAAACAAATTTCCGTCAAACTGGTGGTAGGACCTCTTGTGAGTCCGCGCGGGTAGATACCAACACCCTGCCTATTTCTGCCGTAAAGCAGTAATGCGTTTCGGTTTGAAGGGTAGGGCAGCCATTGTAACTATACTGAGATCTTAGAACTTATATCTCAAGATGGGTGGCGCATTTACTCTGTCTTTGAAGACGTTTGAAGAAGGACATGTCATAGCGCTCGGGAAACACCGTGGAGGGGAGCTCATTCCATAGCCGAATGGTAGGTGGCAAAAAAGACCTCTGGAAACGCACTGTCGATGAACGCAGCAGTTCCAGATAATATGGATCAACTCTGCTCCGATGGCGGGAGGTTCGATGATAAAAATCAGATGAGGGGATCGTCTCAAACAATTCTTCAGAGCACTCCCCAAATGGGTAACCCTAACAACTCCGATGGGTAATGTTTTATAACTTCATAATTTTCAAATTCATATTAACTAAAGTTATTCAGCGCAAATAGAAGCATCTACTAATTGACTATACACGAAATGTGATACTGAATTCGCCCCTGTTGTAAACTTATGGAAATGCCCAAAACACACTCATTTCAAAGTCAAGTCTACGAGATGAATGATTCATTTTCGAAGTTACGACACAGTATTACAAATTAATGAAAAATTCTTATAATAATATATGAAATCACTAATCTTCAAATTAATACAATAAGCCATAAGCATGCAAGATGCACGCATACTTTATACAAAATATATTTTTTTGGGCCCGCAATATGCATTTTTACGTTTACATTAATATATTTATTTGTACTATCATTCACATTTATATTAAATAGGTATTTTATTGTTCTGATATCCCAAATAAAATATTCAACGGAAAAATGCAAATTATAATTTTTAAAACAGAGCTCATTTTATTTTTATATTTAGCTTATTTTTATTTTTTCTTTTACATAGGCAAGTCAGTGTAAGTGAACGAACTGATGAGCTTGCGGCCTATCTGGTGTTAAGTGGATACCAGAGTCCGTAGACTTGACAACGGGAGTCGCGCTACCACCTTGACACTTGAGTCTTACAATACGCCCAACCAATACTATTAGTACGCAAAATGACATTGCGGAAAAGATGTTATTTCATTAAGAAAAATTGCTACCAGCTTGCGGGATTTGAACGCTGGCCTCGCTTGCCACGAGTACACCGGGCGTTAAGCTCAAGGGGAAAATTTACAAAACGATCATTAGACCTGTCGTGCTGTACGAATCTGAATGCTGGGCGACGAAGGTAAAGCATGAAAAAGGAGTGCATGCGTCAGAGATGCGAATTTTGAGATGGATCTGTGGAGTGACAAGAATAGACAAGATAAAGAATGAGTATATCAGAGCAAGTGTGAAAGTAGAGCCCCGTGATTGATAAATTAAAG